TGCTGAAGCACCCGATCTATACAGATGTTGGGTGAGCCAGGTCAAACTAATGCCGTGCCTCTTCTGGGCTTGCCCTGGGTTCAGCACAGGGGCATACAGAGTTCAAAGAAAAATGCGTTTTTGGGGTTTTTTTGTTTTCATTTTTTACATCATGAGCAGCCTCTTGCCCCTTGCAGGAAGACAAGGGAGAGAGCACTCTACACTGGGATGCTGCAGGACCTGGCCAAACGCTATCAGCCTGTGTGACATGCCACATGTTCAAATCAAAACTTCATAGAAACTGACTACAGAAGTATTCTGCATATTTCATGCAATAACTTGTGGCTTGTTGGCCATTTTTATTGTGTGATAATTACTTTGCCTGTATAGCATGTGTAAATTTATTTTGCAGTTAATCAGTTAATTGCATAATAGATTAAACACGTTTAATCATTATTTGAAATGTGGACTGTAAATTACTTTAAGTAAATACTTGTCCATAACTGTTATGATAGAGGTATAAAATAGGTAAGTGTAGCAGGTTAGGCATGATGACATTGAGTTTGATAGTCCGGTAGTCAGTCCTACCTGCTGTGCCCTCCAGCTTCTTAGTCAACATCCTTTTTCCCTATCCCACTGCCAAACCTTCTGATATTAATAGCTATCATAATTTGGGAGGCTGCCCTCTGTCTTAACTGCTTCGCTCTGCCCTTCTTATCATAGGGCTGTCTGTCTGGAACAGTCAACACTCACCCTAGCAAACCTTAGCAACAACCAGGGGCTAGCTTCCCAGGTTTGCTTCTCTCCCTTGCTATTACGAGGCCTGACAAGGCCTACCTCAACTCAAGCACTCTGAGCACTAGCTACTCTTGTAACTTTGTTGCAATTGCTCTTTCAAGCCAGCCTCTAACTTCCAGGTCCTGAAAAGACTAGTTCTCAGTCTCAGGGCTTCTTGTCCCAACTAGCCTACCCATGGTCATTACTTCCAATTAAGTCTTCAAGGCTCCCTGCTTTGAACCATTTCTCCTGAGGTCACTATGCCTAATCAAGTTCTTAAGACTTCCTGTGTTGAACCAGTCCCTCAGGGCTTACTTGCCCATCTTCTGCTCTTTTTGGGCTTCTGTCCTTAACATAGCCCTTGGGCTCAAGTGCCTACCATCAGTTACCCAAATTCAATCACCCTTCCTCAGGATACTTTACTATTTGTTGATCAGTCACTCTACAGCCTATCAGGGCCAGACTCCTGTTTCCAGCCCAATAACTGAGCTCATATAGCTCCCAGCTCTTCTTCTATTTATCTGATCTTTCCTTCACTCTGCTGGGCATAGAGGTTATTCATTAGTGTAATCAGTGGCCTGGAGCTTTGCACTGGGCAGCCTGCTTCTTTTGAAGCCTTATACCTCCTTCTGCTTCAGCTCTGTAGCTGTACAGTTCCTGCTCACAGCTCCCTCCACCAGCTAATTGCACACCTTGTATAGCTGTATAGTGCTGCCTCTTACCTATTAAATAACAGGAATTAGGGGAGCCTGTTACAGGAAGTGTTCTGTGCATTAAACAGAAATTGAGGTTTATTTTATATAGCTTTTTAAACCTATAGAGCCTAATTTACTGGCCATCCAGGGACATAAATAATGAGTGACATCCAGAACTGAGTTCATTTTGTTCCCTCCCCTTTGATTCAATAAATTGTACCACAAAGAATATTTATATACAACTCATACAATGACAGCAGAGACATAATCCCCCATTTCCTTTTGCAAGGAAGATTATCTAGAGCATGCATATTAGGTTTCAGTCTTCTTCAGGTAGGAGGAAACAAATTACTCTCCACCTCTTTAAAAATGCATCTCATTGGATGCATCTACACATGAGTTTTACTGGGGAGCAGGCTAATTAGCTGTAAATGTCACCGTCTACACGTAACAATATTAGGCCATAGTAACCTAATTAGTGCCTGCGTCAGATAGTACAGTTGGGGATAGTACTATCTTACATCAAGGTAATATACTGTGATTAAACTCATGTATGGACACTGACCATGGGTGTAATTTGCTCCGGATCAGCCCAGCCAGCCAGGGGCCAGATTCCTGCTTGCTGCCTAACCACACAGCTCCACACTTTCAGCACCCTCATGCCCCAGCAAGACCCTCTGCCACCTGGCACCACCACCCAGAGCCCAGGGCTGATCCCCATCTCCTCCCCCACCATGTACCTGCCAGCCCATGTAGATGTTTTACCCAGGGCACACATGTAGACGCTGCACCCAGGAGTAGTTTAGTCCAGCTCAAATAGCTCTGGAATTTATTGCTTCATATCAGTTGCATGTGTAGACACACCCATTGTAGGCTACATATATTGAATTCACAAAACATTTTCAAGTTGTGAGGATCAATAATTACTACCTTGGTTTGAATGACTTGTTTTATATTCATATAGGCAAAACTATTTGAACTATTTACAAATAAGAACTATTAAAAAAAGAGAGAGAAAGGGAGGCAATCTTACCATCTTAGCTGATTATCTGTAGGAGATGAGGACATAATCCCTTTTCTCTTGCTTATGGAGCCCTTGATGCTTTGGCTTCATCTCTCTGGCCCCTTGCACATAGTTCTCTGGATGGTATTGTTACTCTGGTTCTGTCCCTATAGTCTGGTGAATTTCAGTGTGTATTTAGTTGTGTTCATTTTTAAATATTTGACATGGGCAAGAGGACATTAGAAAGCACCCGGTATTTTTTGGCACAGGACTCAAGCTTTAAATGAGAGCTTTGCTTTGCAAGCCATTATGAGAAATCATTTTTTTCCCAGGACTTGCTATATTTTTAAAATCATATTTAGATTTGTACTGTCCCTGTACATCCAACACTAGTGATGGGAGAAACACAATAACATGGGTGTGATACATACCTTAATTCTACAGGTACTTGTACTATGGCTTGGGCCCTACCAAATTCATGGCTGAAGTGGGCTGTACTACAGCTCCTTTAATCTTGCAGGTTCCCCTGCATGCCCCACCACCGCTGATTGGTGGAGGGGACCTACTTGTGGTTCATTCCTGATTGGCAGGGAAGCAAGAACCATGGTTTTAAATATGGTGTCATTTTGCCTTCTGCCGCTGATTGGTCAAGGGGCCCCGGTAGCCATGCCATTTGCTGTTGACTGGTGAGGAGGAAAAAATGGTGCCATGTTTAAAACCATGGTTTTCACTGCCCTGCCAATCAGGAGGAAACCACAAGTGGGGCCCCTCCACCAATCAGTGGTGGGAGACACGCCAGGGAATCTACAAGATTAAAGGAGCTGCAATGCATCCCACTTTCGCTGTGAATTTGGTAGGGCCCTAAGTATGTGATATTAAGGGGCACCAGATATACAGTGTTGCATAGTTGGGATTGTTTGGTGTGGAATAGACCTAGACAATTACATTCCTGCCTCCTGCTGCTCCTGTGCATAAGTGATCCAAGAAATCATTACGTGTGCAAGTTGGGGGACTGTGTTATATTTGTTATATTGTTCCTTTTGAGAGTCCTGTGTACAGAAGTGCTCATAGAAAGACAGCTCTTGGGGAATAAAACAAACAAGGAGAAAATTTAGGGCTTCAGAGCCCCATACACATAACATTAACTTTGTAAATTAAGTAAATAGGATTCCTCATGGACATCAAATTAAGTGTTTGTAGGATCAATGCCTTAAAAAGAAATATGATAAATAAGAGCAGGATGAGGAAGGATGCCAATAAATATGAGTGTGATGCACACATAAAAACTATGTACCTTTTGTTGTTCTTTGAAACTTCATGCTATCATCCATAACAATGTACAAGAAATAATTTCTAATTTGAGTGGGATATAACTTTTTATATGGGAAAATAAATAAACAGTATTATGAAGTAAAGAATAAAAAAGGACTGTTGTAAGACCTTATATATGATGACCAGTTTGTGGAAGACAAAGGCATTCAAGTGCCGAAATTGGGCACTTGTACACGTGATGAAATTGCCCTTTTTAGTGGTTTAATTGGCCTTCCATAGCAGTATAATTGTGTCACACATTACACATAGAGCAGCATATTTCAATTTAATTTCATCATGCTGTACATATGTGGTGGCGTATTGGGCTCTAAATGACTTTGTTATGTAGCAAACTAAAACACATCCTGATGTATTTTAGTTTGCTACCTAACAAATTACAACAATACATCCATCCTTGAGCCCTCCTCCCAGGCTTCCAGCACCCTGCGCACTGTCCCAGCCGCCTTCTCTGGCTGCCGACACAGTCAGCTTGCCCCTGAGACAGCTCAGGGAGGCAGTAGGAAGGCAGTTGGATGGGCTAGTGGCCAGTTTGGTTTCTCATTGGAAGAAGGTGGTGGGGATGGTGCATGGGGCACCAGAAGTCTGGATGGGCTTATGGAAGCTTGAGATTGGCAGGCTTCCAGCACCCTGTGCACTGTCCCTGCTGCATTCGCTGGCCACCAG